GTCCCAGTGCAACCTAAGCTTCAACCTTCCACTTCTCTTCATCTCTTTCACCCTTTCAGCTTAGAAATCAGCAATTTCTTGCCTGAGTTAAGACTGAGTGAAAAATTAACCAGATTTCAGGATTTAGCTCACAGACTTAATTTCCATTTTTAGTTTACAGAAAGTAATTACTCCCACATTTTTAGGAGTGACGTTCAAGTAGAAACAATTTCTTTCAATTCTGAAGTATTTTTTCCTTATCGAAATCATAATTAATTGTAATGAATTTGCCAGTGAAACATACAAGTGTACAGTCATAATAAACATGTTAATACTTGCACTGACTTCTGTTTTGCAAAGCAGTTACTGGCTTTGGGAATAAAACATGATGGATGGTTCAAAGCAAACAACCTCAATGTCAGAAAATTCTAGTCATGACAATATTCTGAATTGGTCTAGAAATATTCACTAGACAAGGAGAAAATTTAACAGAAAGGGGCTTTGAAAAACCTATACCAAAATAACAACAGAGCCCAATCTCATAGTTACTTATCAGAAAACTATAACATTTTTGGAGATGCACACATGTCATTCTTTTTAATGATAATTCCTGAATAATTGTCTGACTCAAAGGTCACATTGACTTGCAAGATTATCTAATCTGTTTTGGAGCTTCCAGATGTTGCTCTGCTAGGAAAAAAAAAAAAGAAAGCTAAAGGGAACTAACTAATCTGTCAAATAAGGAAAGTTATAGCCACCATATACTTAAAGGTGACTCCAAGGGGGAATTAGACCCCATATGACACCAAGTTTTACACATCTATTTGAAAAAGACCTTTGTTTTATTTTCACCTCTACAGAGTTTTGGTCATATTCCAAACACCTTTTCTATGTACTAATTGCAATTTCCTGTATGTTATTCTTATGTTTCATTATTGCTGAGCAGCGCTTACACAGTGTCAAGGCCTCTCCTGCTCCCTCACACATGCAACGACAGAGTGGACTGTGGGTGCACAAGAAGCTGGGAGGTGACACAGCTTGGACAGCTGATCCCCGCTGGCCAAAGGGGATGTTCAATACCATATCATGTCAGGCTTAGTATACAAAGCTGAAGGAAGAAGAAGGAAGGGGGGGATGTTGGGAGTGATGGCGTTTGTCTTACGGAGTCACTGTTACACCTGATGGAGCCCTGCTTTCCTGGGGGTGGCTGAACATCTGCCCGCCCATGGGAAGTGGTGAATTAACTCCTCCATCTGCTTTGCTTCTGCATGTAGCCTTTTGCTTTACCTATTAAACTGGCTTTATCTCAAACCACGAGTTCTCCCCTACCTCACTGTAGGGGGAGTGAGCAAGCTGCTGTGTGGAGCTTAGCTGCCAGCTGGGGTTAAAACACAACAATCCAAGGCAACAAACAAAAGGTTTAGTGAAAGGTCATAATAATCTGGGTTGTCTACCACCCTTCACTGTAATGCTGCTATAGGCATAGCAATACAAGAGAGAAATGTAATGTCAAAGAGAGGTGCCATAAAAGAAAGAAAATCCTAAATAATTTACAGTATCTGATACAAAACTGCACTACAAAACAGAGACTGATAAACAAAACAAACCAAAAAAAGACACGGAGATTAAACAAGTGGGATTTACTCCTATGTGCATGGAAAATTAATACAACCAGGGATGAAGATTTGCTGCATGTTGAGTAGGATGTGGGGTCACAGAGCTTCAAGGACTTTTCTAAGAAGTGTTATGATACTGCCTGGAGAGATGTAGCACGAAAAGGGTTTTCCCAGCTTCACAGCCACTGAAGTCTATGACAGGTATCACTGACTGGCAACAAACAAACTTCATATACTCAGCTCCCTGGAACGCATTATGTAACTCACTATCTCACAAGTGGTTTATTACAAAATTAACCATACTTGTGGCCTGTAGAGTACAAACTGTAGAAAGCTTCACAAAAAACAGAAATCAGTTTTTTCTTGTGTTATTTACTATTACTAAAGTTTTGAGATCTCTCTATAGGAATGTGGCCAGATAGATGTCCATATCTCAAAGCTGCAATTACTAATTATGTTAATAATACTATAAGATGTCTTACCTTCTAGTTATGAATTAAATAGTCTTTTCAAATACAATCTAAAGACAACAGTGAATAAAGCCCTTGAGTTAATTTATTTTCACTCCTTGTTCCTCCTTTTCTTAAACACAATCGGTTCATCAAAACCATTCAGAAGAGGAAATAAATATTAGCTAAAGAGAAAAAAAAAAGTTGAGATTTACATCGGTAGTTTCAAAGTTATCTTAAGTAACCTGGGAAGCCTACTATGCCACAATGTACCCTCCATGAAGAATTGCAGAAACCATTGGGGTAGACATTTTTATTATGACAGGGATTTAATGCACCATTGTCCTAAGCTTTCCTTTTAATAAGGTTATTTAATTTATCATTTAGAGGAAAAACAGTTTGTAGTGTTTTCATTAGCATAATTAATCAGATCCTGTTCTTCCTGAAGTAGACATCTGTCATGTGGGATTCCTGTAGATATTAACTCTGCCATTCTTTTGATGTCAGAATAACCTCTGGAGGTGTTTCAGCTCTCTAATAATAGTAATGCCATTGTAAAATCCTGGTTACTACAAAATAGTAGACCATACAATATACAAAGCACATGAAAACTGTATTTATCCTTTTTATCATAAGTCATTGGTGGTGAAGTGTGGTGCTTAGCCTAGCAACAAAATTTGCAAATATAGACAAAACAGTACAGAAATAAACCTTTCTTTTTCCACTAAATGAGTTTGGGGGTCTTGTAGTTGTAGAAAAAGTTGCATCCTGTATTGGACTGACAGAATGTTTTACAGTTACTGAGCTTTATCAAGATGATATTTTTAAAGCTATTACTGACTAGATCTTTCTTTTTCATGCTTAAGTTTGAGGTTGAAAATCATGCAAGTGTCAATGAAGACACAAGTATCTCTATGCTAATGGCAGTGGTGTATATTAAAAGGACTGATTTTAAGGTCCTATTTAGCTTGACAATAATCCACAGATCTATTCACAGCAATATTAGTTTACTTAGACCAAACATAGACCAAAAATAAAAGCAGAATTATCATCCAGTGTCCCATTAATAGCAAGAGAAAAGAGTGCTGTAGAGCTGCAGTTATTCTTATATGTTTATGTGCTTTTTAAAAAAAGAAATCAAGACCAAAACCATCTGAATTCCCCAAATACTCTGAAATAAAAGAAACAACATTTCCCACACAAATTACTAGTACACAGCTCTCCTTAGGAGCTTAACTTTGCTCCCAAGTCTTTGGGGTCAGATGGGGAAACTGGTAACAGCAGCGTATTAGTGAAAGGGGTAAAAGTGGCAAAAATTCACGACTTCCATTAAAAGGGAAGGCCCAACAGTGACCACACAAAAACAATTACTTGAAGGAAGAATGAACTTTGTAAAGTTTTAAAGAACAAAGTACAGCAGTAGGAATAAGGGGACATTTAGAGAATGAACAATGTCTCCACTGCTGCTGTTTCAACTGTGCAGGATCCATCCTACCCCATTCTTTCATGCTGCACAGATCACGCACTTGATTTTGGCACCCCGTCAAATGCGACTCCTCTAATACAGAATACAGAACTATGCACTGACAATCAAGCACCAAAATGAAACTAAAAGCAAAGCAGAATGGAAATCAGGCAAGTCTCAAAATCAGTGGTTCATGGTTTTTCTGATCAAAATCAGCATCAAAACATCTGCTGATCAAGAAGAGAAAACCCTGATACTGAAGTAATCCCATAACTCTGCATCCTTTTTTATCATTCTTCTGCAAATCAACCATTTAATATCAGCATTTATTCACCTCTGTCCATCTCTTGCATTCTTTTGCTTTGGTAGCAAAATGGAAATCCTGATGGGCAGCATGACAGAAACCTCTATTCTAGTTCCTACTCTTGTTGAGACACTGGTTGCAATTCTTTGCTAATCTTTTAGTCATAACTTCTGCGTTTAGGACTGTGGTGGGACATGGACATCCCCTGATCTTGGCCAGCTGGTCACCCATAGCATGAGAAGAAGCCTTGACTGTGGCAGTGTAGGATTGCTCCTGATGATAGTGGCTCCTATTTCTGCTTGCTTGTCCTGTCACACCTCTAGGCAGAGCACCACCAGCCAGAGTCCCTGAACTTGCTGGACCTGTTCAAGGACCAGAGGATGCTGTGGGTGTGCTCTCTGTCATGCCGTCTTTCACCTCCCTGTTTTCATTTTTTCACCATTACTCCTTCTTTTTATCATTTGTTGCCTTCCATGTCATCTCATTATCCTCTGGTCTCATCTTTGTTTTTCAAGGAGGTGGAGAGGGAGGGGAACAGAAGGAGTCAGTGACTGTTCCTAGTGCAGGGGACTGGTGTAAGTAGCAGCCAGCAGCAGTGGGAGGGAGAATCCTAACCCCAAGTCAGCAGTAGTGCCCAGAGCTGCAAGACTAGGAGGTTGAGCTGTGCCACACCTCCTGTCTTACACCACAGAAGAGGAACACCGTGGTACATTTTCAGGTGCCTTACCACACCAAGACAATGCACTGCAATGAGTGTGCCTCACAGGTGACAAATTGCGTACTTCTAGTCTCACTTATCTTTGGATAGTAAATCCTCTGCCCTCGTACAGGCAAATCCTAAGTCTGCCTCCTTGATTTGGCTCCAGCACTTTCTCCACAAGTGTAACTACTACACACACATACACACAAGATTTCTGGGGAAATATTTAACAGAAAAGTCTGTTAAATTATTTTTATAATATTATAAAGTCTTACAGTGAGATGGGTTTATAACAGTTCATCTTGAACACCTGGAGGTTTTTCATCATATTGATATTTTGTGACTTTCTTTTTTGTGGACAGGAAGATTTCCTAAATAAAAGCTGCATTTTATCTCTTGACATATACAGGGGAAAAAACAGTATTTTAAAAAGCTGCAAGAAACTCTTCCCATATTACTCAAAGTAAATTGTTAGAAAGCCACTTACCCCCAGTTGCCACAGTAATTTCACGTAGAAAATGACCATAAAATGGAAAATCAAAGGACAGATTCACTCTCTGAAAGGAACATCAGAAAATAAAATCATTATTGAGCAGAAAGGTAAGAGGAAACAAGATGGAACAGTCCTCCACTTCAAATATCTGTTTCATTGCTTTTTATTTTTCACTGAAGCCTTGCTATTCTTTTTGAATTTGGAACTGGTAATAGCTACTGGAAACAATTCTGTGTAGCACTTGAACACCTGAAAGCAGTAGATCTTCATAATTAAAGACTTCAGAAAATAAAATACATTAATAGACATTGTAACTCATTCATAAGAATAAAATTAATAAAGATTTATAGAGTTTTTCCTTAAAAAAAGTTGCTTTAACCTCTTTCTTAAGAGGAGTCATCAATATCTAAAGCCTTAGCCATACCTACATTTTACAGGATGCCTCCTACCCTGGCTGCTGATCATTTGCTCCTCCATCACATGTGCCTTCAGATTCAAGTGCTCACCCTGACATCCTGCAGCTACCTGGGTGCTTATCTAATGAAGGCTGGTCACTGGAAGGCAATTTCTCCACTAATCCCATATGACACCAGTTCCTAAACTTTTCTATACTGTCAACTAGGAAACAAAACGATGTACAAAGAAATATTCAACAGAAGCAACAACAAACTCTACATAAGGTACTTACTGCAAAATAAAAATTAAAAAAAATTGTTTGTATAAGCCTACAGATGACTACCCTCTATAAGGTGAATTCATAGCAGGGAACTGTAATTCGGGGAACAGACTTTTCTCAACTAAGCTTGCTATAAAGCATCATTCAAATTCAAACTCATTTTTCCTCTCTACCTATGGTTTTCTCCTTTTCTACCTATTCACTACTTTCCCAAAGCTCGCTAAATATTGTGGTTGATCTTATCACCTCATGTGCTATCTGGTTAAACTCTGAATAAATCAGGAGTTATGGTACAAAGGAATGCTGAAATCCCAGTAAGGTCTTTCCATAGTTTAAATATAATATTCCATGAAAAACACATCACTTCCATAATGGTCCAAATCCCAGATAGAAAACAGGCATGAAGCCCATTATTTCTTATTTAGGAGGAATTATTATAGTAAAAACTCAGTGTGAAGGTGGGTTGTTGGTGACTGTCCCTCAATCCTTCGATGTCTCCACTTAAGTATGCACAACAGCTCATACATTTTAAAAAAGAGGGGGAAAAAAGGAAAAAGGAAATCACTTTTTGTTTTTATTTTCCCTACCATTATTTCTGTCCTGGGTTTATTATGTTCAGATTATATCTGAGTACTTCTTCTCTCAGAAAGAATTATGCTTACATCCACCAGAAATGTTTAAAGACTTATTTAGCATGAAATTAGCAGCTGAAGATTTACAGTAACTTTAAATTAGATTTACGTTCCACTTAAGTGGAAGACAGAATTTAGACAGGATTTATTAGCACATTTTTGTTTGTTTTTAATTAAAATGCAAAATCCATTTGCATTGTGTTAATTGGACTGAGTGGGTTCTAATGACCTTTTCTGTATATACATAAATATGGATGTGCCACTGAACATTTCTAATCAAAATGGCATATGCAAAAGACAACTAATGAATTAACTTAAACAAATGTTCTTTCACCATGTCCTAAAGTTTTCACTGCTGAAGTGTATGCTATGTCTGTGTATGCAGTCCATTTAAATTGTCCTTGCTCTACCAAACATAATTTCCAAGAACTCTGTTAAAACTACCAATTCGCTGACCAAACCATCCCTCTTTCCTTTGTCTGCTACCCTCCATTTTACCTAGTAGCATTAGCTTGCTGAATACACAGTAACCATGAAACTGCTTCAAATCAAAACTGACCCCTTAGCAATCTTCTCAACTGCTGTAATATAAACATTAATATAAAGATTTTTACAATAAAAACTTGATTATTTGCCCACTCAAGCCAGATACAGGTCTCCCACTGACTTAAATCTAAAAAGGATGCCTTAAATTCTGACAATGTAAAAATGTTTAATGTAGACAGTTTAGCATAATACTGTAATAAGAAGTCACTAAAAGTGTGCTTTCACTTTTGCTGCTAGAAAGTATTTTTTTTCAGAAAAGAAATCAGAATTTTTAACCCGCTGAAATAAAAATGTTTTCTTCATACTTAATGATCAAATGGACTGTGAGAAAAGGGAATTGAGTTCTCAACTATGAGGTATCCTGTATCTAGTTCAGTGTTTGAGTGATCAGCTACTAGATATCTAAACACACTGAATATCCAAGCCACTCCTAAAATTTTATTTTATGGTTAAGAATATGGTGGTCATATGTTAAGAAACAATCCTTACTATTAGTGATGTAAATCCTGTAGTGTTAGACATTTTAATTGTTCCATTAATATATGTGTGTTACTTTCTGTAACCAATTTCTATGCCATTTGTACAATCGAATCACCTCATGGATCTTCTCTTTATTACTTTTCCTGTAAAAGCAAAACCACCTGACAGCTTCTGGGAAATCTTAGGGTTATATATTTCAAACTGAAGGAAAACACACAAATTAAGCGTAAAAGTTTTACCATTCAAAGAATCCCCGACATTGTTAAATGAATTCACTGATTCTTAACATATAATAATTTAACTCCTGATTCTACTGTCAAATTGGAGAATAATGTTTAGAAATTATCAGCGTGTAAATCACTGAGTCACAAATGATGTTCAAAATGGCCTTTAAAAAGAATAATGACAAAGTTTATCTCTATGGAAGGGAAAGGAAGAGATTGCTGCTCAGTTATGTATGATCATTTCAGAATATATGACTCTAGAGTTGTACAGTTATAGAGAGCACATCTCTGTTAAATAACTTCATTGTGTAATACATATGAATGTTGTTTGCTCAGATGCATAGAAGAAATCAATTATAGATGTATAAATGAAATATAAAACCTGATGGGATGACTCACTGATACTTTTTCATCATTCAGGAAGGACATAAACCTCTGAAAAAGAGGTCTTTAAAAATGTATGTAGACATGGCTACAGGCACTTAAGTTCACAGTCCAAGATATTTGGGTAAGTATGAAAAGAGATGGATATCAGAGTTCTAAACCATGCTGAATGCTCCTCCACACTGATCCCACACCAAGAAAAAGAAATTGCCTCATTCTAAACCTCAGTTTAATAACTTCATTAAAATGTCCGCCTTGGAATTGACATTTTTTAGGTGTATAATTTCAGAATCCAACTGGAAACAAAATTGCTTACAACAAAGATGTGGAAGGGTGTCGTCTTCACTAACACTTAAACACAGGTTAAAGTTTCTCAAAGGAATTTCACTAATGTTTAGATCTCACTGTCACAAATTACTTTTAATAGGGAAAGATGTTATACCTTTTATATGTATTTATAAATATTTTAATACCTTTTTTTTTTTGGTATATTTCCATTCTCTCCCTCAACACAGAGCACCAGGAACCCACATGAAGCTGGCAAGGCAGACAATAAAGATTTTCACTTTTAGGTGCCCTGAGGTTTTTTTCTCATTAGAATCAAATTCTTTTAAGAAAATAGCTTATACAATGTTTTATTAAATCTACCCCAAAGACATATAACTGCCTGAACCCTCTGTTTTTGCATTATCTCTGGCTCCTTACAGTCTTTTTGACTATGAGGAATATATTTTTTGAATTGGACTCTTTGTCAGTCACATGCACTGGATTTATCATGTCATTCTGCTTTTTGTATTCTGAGTTAAATATCACAGTATTTCTTCCAGCCACCTCTTGCATTTCTCTGAGCCAGTCACCTGTCTTGTGACAGGGAGCAAACAAATAAACTCAGAGAAAAGATGAATTAAACTTGGGTTTTCTCTCAGCTTTAAAACTGTTAAGCTCATTTGCATCTTTAAAAACAGTACGACTTTTAATTAAGGTGTCCACTAGAATTTGTTTTAAACTGGCAAAACCCAAGGACTTTTTGTTGGAGCTAAGTTGGTAAATGGATGAAACGAGATCCTCATGAACCACAATTCTGAGTTGTAATTTTCTGTATTTAATTTGTACTGATATTGGCTCTTCTATGTATGCAACTTCGATCCACAGGTGAGAACTGAGAATACAATTTGTAAATCATACAGTATTCTATTTCACTTCCAAGTTTGTAAGCCTGTTATTTTCATATCAATTTTACCAGGCAGCATGATTACAATAAGTTAAATATGATTGTTGTTTATGTTCTGTGATATTTATTTGTCAATAATCTAAAACTGTGATCACATCACTTCTATTACTATAAGACATTCTCGTGACTTTTTTTTCAGTTGTCCCAAAAGGAAAAGTAAGTGTGACACCTCATGCAAAATAGAAGCGAAAACACAGATACATTCCATGGGAGATTTAAACTTCAACTTCATCCTGAACCCAGTTCTGTTGTTATTGAACTCAGTGGTAAAATTCCCTTCTACTTCAGGAACACAAGTAGTTTACTGTTTGATAGCTTGTGATCCTCCTGAACCGAGAAAAATTTTAAATCTATCTGTAAAGGTATCTCTAAAGGACTTTTATAGCATATTCAAAAACACAACTTGGAATCACTTGATAGCAACACTGTAAAGACTTTCACAGCTTAACTAAGATTCAAAGATATAGCTCTGTGAACAGTAGTCATCATACTTAGTAATACTACTCTGTGGGTCACTGGTGAAAACATCAATGTTAGTCAAAGAAGAAAATGCTATGATAACTTACTGCAGCTTGACGATGCGTATTGGAAAGGATCCCATGAATCTTTACTTTGTCCTTCTCCATCTGGTCTATATTGACCCACAAATCCCGGCTGGTAGAATCATATGGGCCATACGTCCTTGAAGTATAATAATTATGATCTGTATCTTCCTGAAAGGGGGAAAAAACACAGATTGATATGGAAGATGCACATTAGTTTTACGTAAAACTCTCCCTTGAAATACTGAGTCCTGTCGCTTCTGGGAGCAGCAGCAACATGTACACTGCAACTCAGTAATAAAGGAAAAAATGTACAAATTGCAAATGTGTTGCAAAAACACATTCTGCTTCTAACCACTAGCAGTTGACAAGGCAGTTACCTCATCCAATCATCTTATATTATGACGAAAATGTTCACTATACCCAAATCCCAATCATATACTTCCTGTAATCACATCAGTGAAATCTATGGCAAAATGTTTGATGGCTTTTGAGGCAAGATGGCCAGTTAAGTTCCTTAATAATGGACACGCTCTAACAAAGCAACGAGCAGTATTCACAGTTAACACCTTAAAAACAATGTGGTTTTCAACATTTCTGAACATAATTCACTAGACTATCCTTTATAAGAATATCCAAAAAAATTTCTGACAGCTATAGGCTTACAATGCTATTTTATTTTAAATCTCCAAAAGTTTGCTTTACTGTAGATTTGCCATTCAGAGACAAAGACATATATATTTGTGGAAGAAAGTTTCCTAATTATCATGGTCTTTAAAATTACAGAAGTTGCTGTTATGCTCATGTCACAGCAAATTTCTGTCAAGGTCAGTAGCTGTGAAGGCCTGTACTTTCCTGTCTAAAACAGAGAAAGGGGAAAAAAAAAAGTGTGTGGTCTGAAATGAGCAATGAAACAAATCTCAGATTTCCAGTCTTCCTTTACACATCCAAGCTGTTGTAACCATAAAATATTTAAACCAACAACACTGCCAGCTTTCTGTTGAAAAGCTTGAAGTAATACTACAAAAGTAGTACATGCTAGTGTCAGTTCCTTCCTTGCTTCCACCTCCTTTGAGATAAAGCAAATTAAACAAGGCCTCAATTATAGTGTTTTAAAATAAGAGTAAACTTAGAAAATAAACAGTACTCTCAAAAATGGAAGAGGTGGACTTAGAATTTAGAATTACCCTGGTGATGGAGAAGTTCCTCTCCTGCAGTACCTCTTATTCCCAGCCAGCAGCACAGGACTACTGTCTCATCAGACCATGCTGCCATGCAGACCTGACACTCCCTCCCCACAGCCCACTCCCCAGAACATACACAACCTATTCCTGGTGACGTGATCCTGAGCTGAAGACATACTTGATAAGAACTTATATTCTAGATGAAACTATTAAGGTCCTAGTTTAAAATATATTGACCATAAATTCTGTTTCAGCTGGATTTCACCCTACATTAACATCATTACTGATGCATTTTACTTTAGCTGTTGCAGATATAATCAGGTTACTTTCTCCTTGACACTTTCTGTATCATCTGCTGTACTTTCTATGCCAGGATGTACTTTATGTACCCAGTAAATCTCAGTGACACCTTTGAAGCAACTTCTAACAACTTCAGCAGCTCTAGGTAAGTCACACAAGTAAACATAATTAAAACTATACTGTCAGGAAGATGACAAAAGCCAGCCAGCTTAGAAATTCTTTCCTCCTTTAATGGTCAACAGAAACGGTTATTACTGTCATGTATAAAGGAGGTACAGTAAATTAAAAGGTTTTGAAAACAAATATATATTTTCCCTGTTTAATTTATCATTCTGACAAAATTTCCATAGAAAATAAAAATTGCATTTGAGGCTCAAGGAAAGGGTTCCAAAGATAAAGAAGAAATAATTACTAAAATAGTTTGTTTCAGATAAACATGCAATATTTAAACCATAGTCAAAACTCCGCAAAATTTTTAAATTTTTCCAGTTTTTCATAACTAATAATGCTACTCCAGTTAACTATTAGTATCTAAGCCTCCACCTCCACAACTGGAAGGCTCTAGTGCTGAGCCTAGTGTGTAGCTCTATACAAATGCTTTAAATGGTATCTTGATCCATGCTCAAAGAAGATTCATCATACATTTTGTAAATCAAAAACTTTTATTATAGCCTTCAGCTCAATATTTTGTCAGTGTGAGGACTTACTCATGTCTACCAAACTTTCTGTATAAAAAATGAAGTCTCATTTAGTATTTTAATTCAAGTTAAATAACCTTAGATACTTCTGGAAGGAAACAAATTCACTTCTACTTGGATATTAGAAGGAAGACAGAATTCCTCTTACTCCGAAAAAGCTTCATACCTTCATGCAGAGGTATTTTATGAAAATACTATTAATTATTTCTCTCTCACATCCTAATTTTTCTTAATCCCATCTGTAAAAATTTACAATCTGACTACAAAAAGGTTCATGCAGCTAACTACTGAAGTTAATCTGAGCAGCTCAGGAGCCCTCAGTAAAGTTAGGATCCAAGCTTGTGTTCCAAGTTACTGCCTTCATGGTTTCTAAATTGTATTACTATGGAAATAGAATTCTTGGAGTCTTTCATAAATATGATTTTATTGGTATCATTAGATACCTACGAGTTTTCATTCTGTCAGACCTGTTTATATGGTTTGGTTCATTGTCCCTGCTTATAACGCATTCCATCCCCTACAGGTACTACATGCGTAAGAAGATGCAAAAATGCTTCAAAAATTATAATGAATTTGCATGTAAACTACTGAATTAAGAAAATAATTTTAATAGTTATATGGTACAGATGTAGAGTTCTGCTGGTAGCTAGAATTCTATATAAATGCACTTATGAAGAGAAACAAACTTTTCAGTGTCTTTTAATGATGTAGAAGCACATTACTGAAAGGAAGATCATTCACAGCAAGTAGAGAACATACACATTAATACTTCAAGAAAGTTTTTCTTTTTCCTTTGTTTTTCAGGTATGGATATGAGTGTTATCTCCCACTGCTTCTCTAGTTGTACAGTTCTGTGCAAATACTGCATATGTATGAAGTACATAGCACCTTTATTCTACTGAACAGTACAGCATTAAAGCAAAGGATTTTTCCAGACATTTTTTTCACCAGCTGTGAGGATTACTGTCAGTAACCTCTGTGAGTATAAAAGGAATATTTATTAGAACCTCTCTCATAACAATTGTCTTTTGGGGAAGGAAGTTATTTTTAACCTGAGGCCATCCTTGATGCTGAGTTGCCATCTTACTGTATATTGTAAAGAAGATTAATTTCTTACAGTTTTCACAAGGGATATTTTCTGATGACATCTTGCCTATATTCCCATATTTCTCCAAATACAATTGAATTTTCTCAGGAAAGCTGAATGCATGTACTACTTGTAAAAGCTCAGCACAACTGAAGTTTAAGCCTTTTTTAAATTCTTGGTGTTCAGTATTTGTCAAATTCAAATCCAATTCAAATACTGAACATCCATTCCATATGTTACTTATATGGACACTCCCAAATACAGTCCAAACACCATTTCTTCAATAACTGCTGTCCCTTAACAGATTAGGGTGATCTGTCACAATCAAGATAACATAAAGTAATTATATGTGATATTTAAAAGTAACAACTACATTATACCTCTGAAATTATTTCAGATTATTAACTGGGATTCTGGCCAAAGATGTCTATGAAAGTAGTACTGAAACAGACATGAAACAATAAAGTTCCCTCTCAATGAAGTAAGACACCACGATTCAGTGATGTAATCACATATGTAAACATTGGACTTTTTAGGTTTAATTCTCTTCCTGACATATTTTTTCTTTAAGACAAATGAAAAGGTACTATAAATCTCTAGGAGATGGAGGATATTATCAAACAAGGTTTTAGGAATAAGAGCCTTTGTTGAATCCAACTGCATGAATATTTTACTTCTAAATACTGGATTCAATTTGATCCAAACCACAGACATTACTGAACAAGAAGCTCTGCCAGCTGCTGAGCTCTCTCTCTTTAAGGCAATAACTGAAGAAAGCTGATAACTTCAACCAGAGAAAAAGCAGCTGGTACACCCAGGAATGAGCTCTGCTATTGCCCAATAGTATGTTGTAGAAAAACCTCTTACTGTCTCTGTAGTTGAAGGAAGAGAGTAAGGCATTCACAGAGTAAATCATTATAGATCAGCCAAACAGATGGCAGTTACATTCCAGTAGATTAAGTCTTGGCTGTCTTCTCCCAGTACTGGAAGACTGTTTATGACATTACCAATCAAAAATCAATCATCCCATCCGAGGCTCCTCATCTTCAGATATTTGTGGTCAAGTGTTGTGAGTTATTGCTAGGTGCAATAGAAAACAATGAGACTGCATTTGATAACTGCTGTCCCTTTAAATATACTATTTATTGAAATTGCACTTCCAAACTTCAGTTGAGATAACAGCACAATGAAAAAAATATGAAGCCCTCAAGGACATGCTTAATTTTATCACTTTAAAAGGAAGGTGTGATATCTGATTGTTAACAAAATACATTAAAAAATTGCCCAAATATTGCCAAACTCACAGACAAGGACTATTTTTAAATTAACTGAAATTGTTGCTAATATTTTTCCTAAATATTAATTCTGAGAAAATTGATCACCTATTACTAAGTTCAGAAAGTCATCTTTAAGCATTTCTTGATTAATAGTGTATGAAAGTAATCAGAGAATTATGCTTTCTAAAAGGTGCATTTGTAGACTAAAATGGAAACATTGAAAGGACAAAACAGGCAATTCTATATTTTTTAAACAGACAATTTTTCAGCAAGAAACCAAAGATAATAATACTTCTTTGGATATTTAGAGGAAGGAAACAAACTAGCAATTAAAATTATTTCCCTAAGGAATAAGGCAGCTCTGGTGATCCATTTTGCAGACATACAGCAAAAACAGCTTCCCCAAAACTATTTGCACTCTTACCCAGTCTCATGTAATGTTTGCTATTCTCTTACAGTATCTGTGCCTATCATACAGCTAAAATTGACTTCTGAATTGTTTCAGACTTTTGCTAGAAAATTGCTTTTATATTTCTGAATATTATTAGTCCCCACCAGCCAAAAGCAGCACAAGGGGGAGAACAGAGATGATAGCTTGTGTAGGACTTGAGACAGCTGTGCATTG